CAAAAACAACTTCCTTTTGATCATACCACATTGAACATATTATTTTACAACTTTTATTACAAATAATACCACAGTGAATATTCTTATATACATTACCTTCTACGCAAGTATAAATGTTACTGTAGGGGAGAAATCAGAATCTGATTCCTTAGAACTAAGGATATGCAGGATATGCACATTTCTAATTATACTAATTTCTGCCAAGTTGCCTTCAAGTTTGGTCATATTTACTGACCATAATTTACACTCTTTTGTAATCAATAGTGTGAAACTATTGATTTTTTTATTTCCCCAGGTCCTCCTCTAAGTTGATGCTATCAAACATTTAAAATTTTTATACTCTAATAGGTAAAAAGTGGCCTTTTGTTTTTTAATTTGTATGTCCTTGATTATCTATGGGGATGAACATCTTTGCATATGTTTATGAGCCATCTGTATTTCTTCTTCTGTGAACTATTTCTTCTTATGTTCATATTCTTGTCCATTTTTCTATCAAGTTTTCTTTTCTTTATTGAATTATGAGTTCCTTATATACAGTGGTGTGTTGCTGACCATAAACATCAACTTCACATTTAATGTTGTTAGCTTGAAACGGGCCATGATGGAAGTATGTGTACCATGGAAATCTGCAAAAGCTACGTCCTCGCCTTCACTCAATTATTAAACATTAACCAGCACACCACTGCTTATATGTTTTGATCCTAAATTTTTTCGTTGTTACTTGTCTCAATGACTCTTCTTGGCTATGTGATACATAGCAATTTGTTACATGGCAATAAATAACTAATACAACCTCCTCTAAGCATAAGATGATGATATGTGCTAATGTCTTGATACTCACAGTGTGTCCATGGACTAGCAGCATCAGGATTACCTGAGAGCCTCTTAGAAATAAGAGCCTCACCCCTCTCCTAGATTTGCTGAATCACAATCTGCATTTTAACAAGGTCCTTAGGTGATCAGTTGGTACATTTAAGTTTGAGCAGCACTATCCTGGAAAATACTTCAGTTACCTAAAAATATGATTACTTACTCTTTTAACTCTTATTTCACATAAGGATAAACTCCTTCTACCACTTTGGGTATAGTAAACTATAAGAGAACATCACTCCTATACTAACAGGGAAAAAAACACAAAATAATCTACAAAATCATCATTTTTTATGGGCCTGTATGAGAGCTAAAGCTGCAAGACAATTGAAATAACTAAACTCTAAACTGTGACAGGGCCCTGTGAGTAGAGATGGAACATGTAGACTGTTTTACCTTTGGCAGAGCATGGAAGAAGTGACAGTCATAAAAGAAGGAAAAAAGACTCATAATTTAACAAATTCTTAAAAGCCAAGTGTGGGCTAGCAAGATAAGTTAGCATCCCTGGCACTCCAAGAGTGCCTCTCCAGAAAGAGTCTGCATCCACTAGCCAGCATTTTTCCATGGGCCTCCATCCTGTGCTCTAGAGGAAGATAGTAGGCAGGGAAGGAGATCTAAGAGACATCCTTGTGTCTCTTTAGATACCCTTCATCTAAAAGAGATGAAGACAGATGCACAGAATCTACCAAGGCAGAACTCATCCACACTACAGGCCCTGAATGAGCATAAGGTGAGCATCAGGTGTCACTGTGGGACAGGCACACAACCTTCCTACGCTCCGGACAAAGCTCCAATATGAAGCAAAAGCTGTCTGCTACTGAGAGATAAAATACCCTACACACCTCAGTCCCATGCAAATGATGGCTGCTGGGAGAGAAGTACCAAACTGAGCTATCCTGATACTTTACTGACACTAGGCAGTGTGCCATGTGTCATTAGGAGAAGGGCACAAAATCAGCTCATGCTGAGATTCTCCAATGACACAAAGCACAAATCTGCTACACTGAGAAAGGAAATGGTCATTCACCTATACTTAAGACATCCCACTCATATTAGCCAGTTTACCTGCCACAATGGGAATAAGCAGGAAATAGGCCTGAGCTCTGGATCAGTGTTCTCCAGTAGGACTTTCTACAAGGACAGAAATATCCTGTATCTATGCTGTCTAATATGCCAGCCGTTAGCCCCATGTAGACAATTGGCTGTTGATGAATGCAGCTTTAGACTCCATGCCTAGCAGATGGGACAGACTGTCTGCTCCTGGACAAGGCATGAAAAGAGCCTTTTCTGGGGGTACAAGCATATAGGACCTGCTTAAGACTAAAACTGGAACAAAAGAAAGAAACCCACCCTACACAAAACTTTTGCACCAGATAATAAGCAATGACAATCTATTGTTATGGGAAGGGCAAGAACATGAAAGGAAATGTCCAAACTCCTCCCCTGCCTCCAAATGTGGCACAAGCTGAAAGATGAAGGTAAAGCAGAAACACTGAAAAAAAAATCATCTGATACACCAGTTCTTTTTTTTAAGATTTTATTTATTTATTTATAGAGAGAGGGGAAGGGAGAAAGAAAGGAAGAGACACAATGATGTGTGAGAGATACATTAATTAGTTGCCTCTTGCACAACTCCTAATGGGGGCCTGTCCCACAATCCAGGCATGTGTCGTGACTGGGAATTGAACTGGTGACCTTTTGGTTTACAGGCCTGCATTCTATCCCCTGAGTACAACAGCCAGGGCTGATACACCAGTTTTCACACTAAGCCCAAAGTATTGGCAGTCTATCTCTGTAGGAATGTGAAGCCTGTGGTGTGCTGAAGGTAACTATGACAACCACAAAACCCAATCCTAGTTCAATTAGTAACTACATTGACTAATACCTGTTTGTACTATCATCATGACAGAAGTAGAGGCATGCCTACTTCTGGGTGGAAATATTATTTACTTCAATCTCTACCATTGTTTTATACTGACATTCAATCTAAAATTATGAAACACACACAAAAACAGGAGATAAAATAGTTAAACTAGACCCAGAGATGGACCAAATATTGAAATGATCAGATAGATACCACAACTAAGATTGTTTATGGATCTAGTGGGAAATTTTAGCAGAGATGGAGAGTATTTTTTAAAAGGCAAATGCAAATGCTAGAAATAAACATGAAGAATCCTTTATCAGGCGTATCATCAGAATAAACACAACAGAGGAAACAGAGAACCTATGTAAAGATTAATAGAAATGACCCAAACTGAAACAAAGGGAGAAAAATAGGAAAAGGGTCAGAGCAACCAAGAGGTGAGACAACAGCAAATGGTCTAACATTTTTACTTGGAGTCCTAGAAGTAGAAAGTTAGCCAAAAGAAATATTTGAAGAGATAATGAGCTAAATTTTTTTTGAAATTGGGTTTTTGAAAAACCAATGCAGGATAAAAATTAAAAATAACACCATCAGACACATCATAGTCAAACTACTGAAAAGTAGTGATAAAGAAAAAAATCTTGAAGACAGTTAAAAAAGAAACATGACAGAGGAACAAAGATAAGAATGGCAAGAGACTTCTCATTAGAAATTATGCAAGCCAAAGACAAGAGAGCAGCATCTTTAAAGTGCAGTAGTTCCCCCTTATCTGTGGGTTTGCTTTCCACAGTTTCAGTTACTTATAGTCAACCGCAGTCTGAAAATATTAAATTTCCCCAACCACTGACATTGTCTGCTGGTGCTATCCAAACACCAGTATTGTTGTGGTTCGATGATCCAGGATCACCTAAAGCAGATGATCCTTTTCTGATGTACGGTCAGAAGGTCAACGGCAGCCTAACACAAAGTCGCAATGCCTACATCATTCCTCTCACTTCATCTCATCCCATAAGCATTTTATCATCTCATATCATCACAAGAATAAGGGTGGATTACAGGACAATGAGATGTCTTGAGAGAGAAAAACAGAGGCCATAATCAACTTTTATTGCAATACATTGTTACAATTACCCTGACTGGTGTGGCTTAGTGGATTGAGTGCTGGCCCGCGAACCAAAGGGTCACTGGTTCAATTCCCAGTCAGGGCACATGCCTGGGATGTGGGCCAGGTATCCAGTTGGGGGTATGTGAGAGGCAACCACACACTGATGTTTCTCATCCTCTCTTTCTCCTTCCCTTCCCCTCTTTCTAAAAATGAATGAATAAATAAAACAATATATTGTTACAGTTGTTCTAATTTATTATCAGTTATTTTTAACCTATAACTGTGCCTAATTTACAAATTAAACTTTATCATAAATATGTATGTATAGGAAAAAACACAGTATAGATATAGATTAGATATAGATATAGATATGGTTCTGTACTATCTGCATCCACTGGAGGTCTTGAAACATACCCCAGCAGATAAGGGGGGGAAATACTATACTTAAAAATTGCCAACCTAGAATTTTATACCCTTCTTCCACAAAATGGTTAAAAGAGTATTTCATTGCTAGTGGAAGTGAATTATAAGAAATGTTAAATAAACTTCTCCAGGGAAAAAAATTGACCCAGATAGGACATCAGGATTAGTCAACTTTTTCTGTAAAAGTCCAGATAATAAATGAAATGGTATAACATTATTTAAAGGTAGACTGTGATAAAGAGATACATTGAAAATTTTACGATAGCAAGTAAAAAAATAAAGCAATAGCTAATAAGCCAAAGTAGTGATAAAACTGAATCATAAAAAGACACTCAATCCAAAAGAAGGCAGGAAGAGTGGGAAAAAGGAAAAAAACCAAACTGAGCAAATGGATAAAAACAGCATAGTAACAGATTTAAATCCAACCATATCAATTGCATTAATGTAAATGGTCTACATTTCAATTATAAGGCAAAGGTTGTCAGACTGAATAAGTAAGAATATACTGGTACACTGATAGAAACACTCTAGAAACTAATAATAGAAAATCGGAACATTAAAAAAAACTAATTTATGTACCTATAGTAGAGTGAAAACAAATGATGGATATAATTAACATCAAGCTGAAGCAATCTGACTTGGCTATTTTTGTCTTCCTTCGATTTCCCCATATTTTAGGGTCTCCATGTTAACTTTCCCCACTTCCCCAAATATAGTAATGTTCATAACACTGACCTTGCCATGGCTTCTTTCCACTTTCTGAAAACATTTATTCAGGGACAGATTATGTCGAACAGAATTCTTCCAGCCTGTTGGTGCAGTAGCAAAATATGGAAAGCGGTCCAGAATCCAGCTATAAATTTCTTTGACAGGCAAACATTTATTTGGAGAGTGTTCTATAGCCATATATATGAGAAGACTAAAAGAGTATGGGGGCTTCGAAGTTGCTGATTTTTTTTCCGGGTTCTGGTAGCAAGATGGTCCTAATGATGGCACATCATCTCCCTCTATGTCATACAAGGGACTAACAATTGGAAGACCCTCACTTCCAAAGCTGAAGTTTGTTAGAAGATTAGTACTTTCATGAAGCCAGTTCAAGTTTGTGAGTTCATCATCTGCTGATTCATTGTCAACTACAGTGGCCTTTGGCCTGGCAGCATCAACAGCTTCAGGCAAGCTTCCCATTTTGTAAATCTGACTTAATCCTGCAACCTTTTCAACTCCTGGAGTTTCAGCTCTCTTTTCTGGAGTCATTCCAATTACCGGACCCATTTACTCTTATAGTTCTGCAACAAAAGAAACAATTATCAATCAATGTAATACTTAAGATTCTTAGGCTCATGGAAAAATAAAATACATATTTAAATATCTCTAATTGGAGAAATTTTGCAATTATCCCACATATTTAAACACTGTATTTGTATAATGAAGACACTAAAGGTTACAATATGAGTAAGAGAACTTATCATATTATTTGAAATGGCTGTAAATAAAATGCAGCATTATAGTACCATATGTCTGGGTGATATAAACAAAATTAATAATGTATTTTGAGTATTTATTAAAGTCCCCAGCCCACAGTTACTACTTAATAAGGAATGGTTATTATTAAAAAGGAACAGACTATTTCTAAGGATCTACGTTTTTACTATAATAGTCATATATACTGCTCAACACAGAAAACAAATTTAAAATATTGCTTAAACAATAATCCTAAATAAACCCTTTCCTCAAATCTAAAATATTTACTATAAAGAAAAACCATTTTAATATTATTATAACATTTCTTAATCACTATATTTATCAGTAAAATTATATTTACTGCAAGTTATTTCTTTAGTAAATTCCAGTATTTTCCATCTTCATTGTGTATAATCTCATCACATACTGATACTGAAAGGCTGACATTCTCTTAATAAAGTTTGAAGTGTCACTGTATTGCTGGCACTCAATTCACTGAGCACACCAGCCAGGGCTGAAGTGTTACTATATTTTCAAAAAGAAAAAAACTACTTCTATACCATCTGTTTTTATTTATATTTTCTCAAATGACTTTTCTTTTGCTTTCTAAACACACTTCAATTCAAAACACTTAACATGGGAAAACAACTGACCAATGTTGAAAGGGACAGAATATATTATTTCATTCATTTAATGATTCATAAATGTGCCTCATTTCTGAATTCAGTGAAAAACCTTCTATGTTTTCCATTATTCTAGTTAATCTACTTATAATCCCATAACTGAAATATGCAAAGTACCATATTTTGCCATGTATAATGTGCACATTTTGCTCAAATTTTTGAGGGAAAATAGGGATGGGCATTATACATGGGTAGTGCCTGAAATTCCTTGTATCTGCTCTTGTGTTTTGTAATTATTTGTTACATAAAATTTCTTGAACTATAATGTGTTCAAAAATAAATGCTAAAATTCCTTTATAATGCAAAAAAACAAGTATCTAAATATAAATGAATAAAAAAGTGAAAACAGAAGCCTTTTTTCCTGAAAGTTTGGGCCAAAAACGTGGGTGCACATTATACACAGGAGTGCATTATACAGGGCAAAATACAGTACCTCCAAAGTTTTACTTTGCTTAGAATATAGCTGGCAGGTTAGCCCAAGATTTATGAAAATCAGTAAATTTTAGATGTAGAACAGAGACGTTTGGATTCTGGTAGCTAATAGCAGACATAATCTCAGGGCACTCAATTATCAATAGCATGAGTTATTGATAATAATTTGGGGCCAGCCATTGTGTGAAACACAATTTCAATCATCAATTAAACCCTATAAAATAGGAACTATTATTAGCCCAATTATTCTAGATGAAAAAAATGATTCACAGATGTTAAACATCCTGTCTGAGGCTGCCTGGCTAGTAACTGAAAATGCTAGAATTTAAAATCAGGCAGAGTGACTTAGAATCAAAACTCTAACCATTTCATTATCCTGGTAACAGTACATATACATCACCTATGAGTATGAATTCCAATCCTATCCATTTTAAATTTTATCATTGTTCTCTCCATCCAGCTCTTCTCTCTCTCACATACACCTATTATCTTTAATTTCTTACACTAAGACACTATAAAAAGGAAAAGATCAAACTATAACAAATTTGTTGTCTATTTCAATCAATAATGAAACCACACATACATAAACATATGCACATATGCTCACATGTGCACACATATTTCAGAGATGACATCCTGTTCTATGTAACTGACCAAACTGTTCATTTACCACTCAAGTTTCTCTACTCATAGAAAACTTTAAAAATGTAAAGGTTGAGAATTAATTGGTTGAAGAAAGTCTTGTTCCCTTTTTTTAAAAAAACTTAGTATTTAGTGTCCAAAGAAGGAAAGAACTAATTTCTAATGGCGCACTTTTGTCTTTTCACCTATCTCTTCATTTACTTCCTTTTTTTAGAGATTTTATTTATTTATTTATTTTAGAGACAGGGGAAAGGAGTAAGAAAGAGAGGGAAACATTAATGTGTGGTTGCCTCTCACATGCCCCCAACTGGGGACCTGGCCCGCATCCCAGGCATGTGCCCTGGCCAGGAATCAGACCAACAAATTTCAGTCCATAGGCTACTGCTCAATCCACTGAGCCACACCAGCCAAGGCTTTATTTTCAATTACATATAGAAATTAGGGAGTACCAAATAGCACTGGCTAACATTTACTGTGATTTTACTATATTACAGACACTATGCTATGGGCTTTGAAATGCATTGTCTCTACTTACTCCTCCATACTACTTAGCTCTATGTACCATTCTTCTTTCTTTCTGACTGTGAATTCCATAAAGGGCATGAATCTTCTACTTTTGTATTCCTAATGAATCTTAACAAAATGTTGGGTGTGAGTAATCAATCAAATCATAATTATTTCAAACTGAAATTAACTAATAATCAACATGCATGTCTACTCTGTACCAGGTACTGTGCTACCCACCTTTACTAGTTATTTATTTTCAAAACACATCCTTAATACTAGTAAATACTGTCACTGGTAACAACAAGAAAATTGAAATTCACTGTTTAAAAATAAGGAAATGGAAGTGAACTAAGCCATCTGTCTAAGATTCTAAAGCTAAAAAAAGGAGAGCCAAAATTATAAACCAGGCTGAGTTCAACAGTCAAGTCCTTTGTCCATTCAAGTACACTCAATCTCTTAAAGAATTTATATTTTAGCAATACCACTTAAAACAAATAGATATTGTTGACAGACATGAGAAAATAAGGTGACAGAAACTAATTTAGATAGTTACAACTATGTTACTCCTCTGAATTACAAGTTTAGAATAAAGTCTTATTAAGATAAAAACCAGTATTATATCATCAAATTCGTTAAAGATTACACAAAGTACACAGCCAAGCAAAGTTAAAAAAATCAAGTACTGACACTGAAAGGCTAACATGCTCTTAGTAAAGTCTGAACTTTCATTTTCAAGGAGAGAAGAAGAGTGTTTGTAAACTATCATTTTGGAATACTTTAGAATACCATCCACTTAGAACATTAGAACACTAAATCCATCAAAACAAATAGGCAAATGATCTTTCTCACAAGTAATTGTAAAAATAGAGAACAAATATACTAGAAAATATTCAACTTCACTAGTGATTAAAGAAACGCAAAACAAAAATGTTATATTAAATGATAATGTAGCACAGTACCTAGTCTTGCACTAAACACAAATACTAGTAATAAAAGTAACTATCTATTTTTGCACAAATAAGCAATAATTTAAAAATATATACAATAATAATTCGGGGTGACGACCTCAGATCATTTTGGATAGCTACCTGGCAATGTGCACCCAGAATCATTAAAAATGTCATATTTCTTGACCCAATAATTCCACTTATGAATCACTTCAGTGAAATAATCCTCCGTAGGGAAAAGATTCTCTCTTCTCTTTTTATTTATTTATTTAATTTACAAAAATTCTCACCTGCTCATTGATTTTAGAGGTGGGGCGCAGGTGGGGGAGAATGAGAGAAACATCATGTGAGGGAAACATCAATGGGTTGCCTACTGAACACATCCCAACCTAGGATCCAACCCACAACCTTTCTGGTGTATGGGATGATGCTCCAACCAACTGAGCCACCCAGCCAGGGCTCCCTCTGTTTTACACAGCACACACACACAGATGTCCATCCAAGATTAATGAAAGGTAATAGACAATTATAAACAACATATATATCTTATTACAGAAGAAAAGGTAAACTAAAGCACATCTATTCAATGTAATATTTAGTAGTCATTAAAAATGACTGTCGTTAAGACTGTGAGGTAAACAAAAAAGCTTTATTAAAAACTGGTAAATAGAAAATAAAAAGTGAACAGTGGTTTATATTAGTAACTTGGTAATTTTTTTTTGTTCTTCTATTTTCTAGTATTTCTTTAACATGTTTATCCTTTTTATAGTTTAAAATGAAAAGAAACTCAAGCAGGAAAAGGCTGTGCTAGATTATGTTTACCTGTAGTAAGAGGGAGGACCAAAAAGAATAAAACACAATGGAATTTATTTATTAAAAATTGTGTATTTATTCTTACATGTTTAAACTTCAATAACCTTCAAAGTACTCTCCATTTGAGACTTTTTTTCCACTGCTCAAGACAGTTTTTGAACTACTTGAATTTGATGTCCTATACTACTTCTGCCTTTCCATATTGGCAAAGTTTCCCTGAGGACTTTCTTCATGGGGGGGGAGAGGGGAGAACAACAAAAAAATTGCTTGGGGCAAGATTGTGTGAATAGGAAGGGTGGGACACAGGGGTCATGACATTTTTAAGTTATAACTACTCACCAATCTTTTTATCATTCCTTCTTGAATTTCAAATTTTCTGTGACCACTTTCCTTCTATTTTAAGAGCCGTCTGCTGGTAAACGTCCAGATTTCATTTCTCTGAGCATGTGTTTATTTAACCTTTGTTCTTAAAATATATTTTTGCTAGCTATAGAACTCTAGCTTGAACTACCATGAGTCATAGTTGTTAGATTTATTTTCACTATCATTATTTCATAGTCTTCTACTACCATTATTATTATTGAAACCACAGTCCTTTGAAGGTATTCTGTGTTTTCTCTAAAAATTTCCCTTTTATTAACCTCTTTTTATTTTCCATTTATTGTCTCCTCATGTTGCATTCTGGATTCCTTCAGATTCATCTTTCATTATATTAATTTTTCTTCGGTGGGATCTATTTGCTTTTATCTATCCCTTAAATTTTAATTACTGAATTATTTTCATTTCTAGAACTTGTTTTTTTACATAGTATCTGTACTTTTCCTCATTTTTAAGCTTTCACTGAACACATTTTATATTTTACATCTGATAATTCCAAGAAGTGAACTATTCTCAGGTCTGATTCTTCAGATTCTTCTATATTATACCCTGTTTTCCCTAGATGTTTACACATTTTTATTACCAGTTAATAATTTTCATTAGAACTTTACCAATTGGAATCATTTGATGATGATGATTTGTGTTGCTTCTGTCAGGCTTCTGGGAGTAGTCACAATCCATGATCCTTTTAAATTCTTAGCTTGAGGGTTAGTATGAATTCAGGCTGTAAACCAATAAGAGGGCTGGTTTGTGGTAATACATTTTCAGCAGAGATTTTATTTTTCCCATTAGCAGAAATAATCTAGAAAGATTATCTTCTTTGTTATCCACTGGGACACCAAGGAAAGAATTTCTAGATCACTCTTACACCTACAATGTATAGCCTTATAGAACTCCAAATTACTGGGAGAAGTCTATTTCCTGCTTGATGTTCAACTTTGGCTGGGTCTGGGCTTTGCTTCATGATCCCTGAGCCCTGCATAGCAAGGAAAACAGAGTTCACTTAATTTGGTAAATACCCTCAAGGCAATAGCCAGTTTCAGCATTCAGCTTACCTCACTAGGGTTTCAATTAGTGGTTGGGCTAAATATTCTTCACTTTTGTGTCAGACCATTGATGCATTTTTATCCAGTATTTTAGGTTGTTTTCAGCAGAAAGGCTGTCCAGGTATTTAGTTCACCATGCTGCTGAAAACAGATATTTACATTGCTTTCTGATGGCAACATCTCTAACGTGCATTATCCTCTATGTTAGAGCATGTGTTCTTAAGTTTCTTTGGCCTCAGCACACTTGAGGAATTTGACTTAAAGTACTTATGTCTGTAAGGAGTTGCTCATTATGAGAGTGACTTCCAGCTGGAATTAGGTAGAGAACATTTCCTTGGAGGTTGAAGATGGTTATCAAAAACTCGGTGCAGATTTTTAAAGAGGGTGCTTTCATCCCTTTAAAACACCATGCTCCATAAATGCAGTAAAGATATTTTAACCCCTTAACTATGATTCAGGTGCATCATTATCCACCAAGACTTGATAAAGAGTAATACTTATAGGAGCTACTGAAGTATACAGGACTATTGTCCACTTTATCAGTGTTTCCCAAATTAGGATGCCCCAAGGATATATTTATTCCAGGGATCCCAAGTCCTATAATTTTCGTTTTTTGCTTTCATTCAATAATAGTATAAAAATGCATTTGACCATTTTCTTTGTTAAATTTTTATTTACTGATTTTAGAGAGAGGGGAATTGGGGAGTAGGTGGGGAGAGAGGGAAAGAGAGAAGGAATCATTGATTTCTTGTTTCACTTATTAACGCATTCACTGGTAGATTCTTACATGGGCCATGACAGGGGATTGAACTTGCAACCTTAGCATATCAGTATGACACTCTAACCAACTGAGCTATCCGGCCAGGGCCTATTTTACCATTTCAAAGATAAAAATTAAAAGACTTAAAACTACTTGAGGACCCAGGTGGTGTGGTTCAGTTAGTTGGATCATCGTCCCATAAATCAAAAGGTCAGGACGCATGCCTGGGTTGCCAGTTTGGTCCTGGTCAGGGCACCTGTGAAAGGCAACTCTCACATTGATGTTTCTCTCCCTCTTTCCCTCCTTCCCCCTTTAAACATGTCCTCAGGTAAGGATACAAAAATAATAATAAAAAAAAAAACTAGTGGAGGAATTAAAGTCAGTGTTTCTCAAAATGGGATCTATAATTTATTTTTTCTACATAAGGGACCCACATAATTCAAGTTGAGAAAAATTGCTATGCTTTAGTTACTGAATTAATCTTCTTAGTTCTATATCCTAGTCCTCATTTGTACTGTAGTCACTGTACCTGATTATATGGGTATATGACCCCTTATCTAAAATCTTTGATTACACTTCAGAATTCAGAGTATTTGGATTTTAGAAAGGAACTACAATGCAAAAGAGGGTTACATGATGTGACAGTGAAGTCTGAGGCAGCACCCCATAATAAACATGTTCATATTTCTGCAGCAAAACGTATGTTCACACTAAAAGGTAACTAAATAAAGAACATCAATAGTCTTACATCAGTTCAGATCATGTTTCACCAATAAATAAAATGGTTTTCAGAGCATTTTTGATTTTTAAATCATGGGGATGGAATTATACAACCCTTATTTGCTATATCTGTACAACCATTATTTCCTATAAATTTATTAGGAAAGCAGATCACAGTAAGACTGGATAAGGGTAACAAGTTCACCTTAAGTACATAAATTTAATGCGTAAACTTTGTAACTTTTCTCCTAGCTACTTAGGAATCTCTTTTTATCTATTCATGGTTTAATAGTGGAAGATACAGAATAAGTAAGCTCCTGATAGGCAGGAAATATATTATGAATTCTAAAATGTCAGAAGGACCTAAATGTATACAGAAATTTAAAATACATTCCAAAGCCAACGTATTAGCCACATTAGATTATGATTACAATGTCTCTTCAGCTAGCAATGTAGATAAAAGATAGAGAAAGAGAAGTATACTATTCAGAATAACCTCTCCTGGTCCTTTTCTAATAAATTTCAAGAAGACACCTCTTCTACTAAACTAATGGCTTTGTTGTCATAGTTGTTAGATTCCATAATGAAATAGTGTACAACTAAAATGGAAACCTTTTTTCTTGAGAAAGAATATACTGTATTTTGCCATGTATGATGTGCTCCCATGTATAATGCATACCTACGTTTTTGGCCCTACCTTTCAGGAAAAAAATCCTTCATTTTAATTTTTTAATTCAATTTTTTATTTATTTACATTTAGATACTTGTTTTTTGTATTATAAAAAAACTTTAGCATTTATTTTTTAACATATTATGATATAAGAAATTTTACCCTGGCTGGCGTAGCTCAGTGGATTGAGCGCAGGCTTGTGAACCAAAGTGTCGCTTGGTTCGATTCCCAGCCAGGGTACATTCCTGGGTTGCAGGCCATAACCCCCAGCAACCACACATTGATGTTTCTCTCTCTCTATCTCCCTCCCTTCCCTCTCCAAAAATAAATAAATAAAATCTTAAAAAAAAAAGAAATTTTATGTAACAAATAATTACAAAACACAAGAACAGATACAAGGGATTTTGGGTACCACCCATGTATAATGCACACCCTTATTTTTTCCCTCACATATTTGGGCAAAAAAGTGCATATTATACATGGAAAAATATGATATCTAATACTAGGAGATATTAAACAAAAACTTGAGGAGGCAGTATATTTGAACTTATAAAGAATTTCATATTATTGCCCTGGCTGATATGGCTCAGTGAATTGAGTGCTGGCCTGTGGACTGAAAGGTCACTGGTTCAATTCCCTGGTCAGGGCACATGCCTGGGTTGCAGGCCAGGTCCCCAGCTGGGGGCATGCAAGAGGCAATCAACTGATGTTTTTCTTCTCTTTCTCCCTTCTTTCCCCCATCTCCAAAAATAAATAAATAATTTTTTTTTTAAAAAAAAGGATTTCATATTATAAAAAAAATAAAATCTAAATCACTACTCGATGTTATAATCACATCTGGATGTAGTGAAGCAGATGGTTAAGAGCATTAGCTGTGAAGAAATTACTGCTTCAAATCCCATCTACCACTCAGTAGGATTCTAATAGTATCTACTTTCCAATTTAGAATTCTAATAGTACCTACTTTCATAAGATTGTTAGTACAAATTAAATGAGAATAAATATAAAGCACTTAGAATGGAGGTAAAGTATACAATAAATACTAGTTGTTGGGAACCGCCCTGCCTGATTTCAGAAGCTATAACCCCCCCAGGGTTAAGGCTGAGTGAGATACCTTGGGACCCTAAGCCACTAAGGAGACAAAGCTTATCTCCCTGGCAGGGACACTGACTCTGCCCCCTTTACTTCACCCTGCTTGGCCCCCAGTGCATGACCAGTTAGCCAATGACAGGTAAGATTCCTCAAGGGAGGGGCAACCTAAGACAGGCATGGTCACAAAGGGGCCCTCAGGGAAGGACTTGGGGAGCTATAGAAAAAGGGGGGTGGTGGACCCCCCCCCACCCTCAGCTTTCACATAGCCTGAGTCCTCATTCTGTCTGCAAGGAGTCTCCTAATCTCTTGGCTCCCTTACTTTCCCTGACTGACTTAAGCCTGAAACAATGCTGGAGGTAGGTGCAGCCCTGTGCTGGAAAGGGCAGGTTCCCCGAGGAGATCAGACCTAAGAAAGAATGCATAAAACCTTGTGAAACCTGTTTTGCCAATACCCTCAATTTAAATGATAAGGGTCCAAGCATGAAATTAGCTGTTTCCCCAAAGTTTTATGGCCCTTTAGCTATCTGACCCTTACTCAAAATAAGCCCTCATAGTTCTTTGTATGTTATCTATTGTTTGATCCTTACTGCCTGACAATGATTGATGAGCTTTCCATATACACCCTGTATTCCTATGCAAATGAACCCAATAAAAGCCCATTGAGGAAAAGGCTCTTGGTCCTTCTCCTTTGGGAGATTGACCACCTTTCCTCCCCAAGCAGATCACATCTTGGTAGACTTATTCTCATCTGTGGTGGCGGGGGCCCTGAGGGCGGAGGCCCCCACAACTAGCTATGAAGACAGTGATTATTAATGTTATTAATTCTTTAAATTATCTCTAGCTTTCTTTTTAAAGTAATAGATTTATAAATGTTATATCTTCGAATAAAAAATATGGTACAAAATCAGTAATAATACTTTGTTTTGAAGTTTGAAAATTAGAAAAAAATTCCAGTGTTAAGGATGGATCCCCTTCATGACCAATGACACCCACTGACAAAACAATCAACTGAAATTAGGCCTTCTCAGAAGAGTGCTGCAATCAGTTTCATCATTTTTTTATGATACAATTTTCACTTCCTTATTCTATTTGTGCCTATGAACTTTATTTGTTAGGTTATGTCAGTATCTTACCCAATCATGCAACATGACAGAATCTTTCAAATCTTTCTAATTTAAATAATATAAAAGCACTTAAATCATATAAACTTTTGGAACATTTCTTAGTATTTTATTATCTAGTGCACCCCTCCCCCTCTAAATTCCTTCATTAACAGCTCTGGCGGATAACATTCACATACACACACACACACACACACACACACAAATGAAAATAACTATACTACCTCTGAAATAAGAAATGTTTAGTTTTCATTAGTAATGACATTGTCAATAACAAAAAGAAAAGATAATGCTATATATAATGCTAATTATATG